TGCTGCTGCTGCTGCTGCTGTAGGGAGCCGTCACTGCAGCAGCCAAACCCGCGTCCAGACTCCGCCCTCCGCTCCCAATACCAAACCCGCTGCTGCTGCTGCTGCTGCTGCTGCTGTTGCTGCTGCTGCTGCTGCTGCGTAGCTCCTGAGCTACTGTGTGCAGCACCACTGGGTCTTCGTGCTGCGTCAGCAGCGTCAATGCTTTGAGGGCCCCCAGCTGGCTGTTCTGCTGCCCGTTTGCTGCTGCAGCAAGCAGCAGGCGAGTACCCTGCTGCTGCACTGCAGCAGCGTTGCTGCGGGGCCCCTTCAGCAGACAGAGAGGCTCAAACCCTATCCTCTTACCCTCACCTCTCAATACACCTGAAAGCGGGTGGCTGCTGCTGCTGCTGCTCCTGCTGCTGCTGCTGCTGCTGCTGTTGCTGCTGCTGCTGGTGGGCCCCTCCTGCTCTCCTTCAGCACAAGGAGGGGAGCTGCTCCTGCTGTCTGTCTGTCTGCTGCTGCTGCTGCTGCTGCTGCTGCTGCTGCTGCTGCTGCTGCTGCTGTCTTCTTCTTCAGTGATGGCTATACCTAGAACCCCCCAGGGCCCCGACCTGGGGGCCCCCCCACTCTCCGGCGACTGCAGCAGCAACCCCTGCAGCAGCTGCAGCAGCACAGCTTCTGTTTCACTCTCTAGTTGGTTATATGGCTGCTTGGCAGCTCCCTGTGCATGTTGCTGCTGCTGCTGCAGTTGCTGCTGCTGCTGCTGTTGCTGCTGCTGTTGCTCCTGCTGCTGCTGCTGCTGCTGCTGCTGCTGTTGCTGCTGCATGTACAGCACTACTTTCTGCTTCATCGCAGCAGCAACCGGCTCTCCTGCTGCAGCAGCAATGGCGGCCCACAGGCCCCCACTGCCGGCTCCCCCCAGCCAGAGAGGCAGCCAGAGAACTCTGTTTTTATTTTTTTGTTTCTGCTGCTGCTTGTCTCCTCTCCTCTTCTTGAGGCCCCCCACCCCCTGCTGCGCTGCGGTGTACATACACCCCACGCATGCAGCCAGAACCCCCCTCAGACGCAGCCACGACCCCAGGCTCTCACTTCTTTCTTTCTCTGCTGCTGCTCTGCTGCTGCTGCACACACCACCCTCGCCCAGCTCTCTTGCTGCACTCTCTACACCTGCAGCATCCTCTGCCGCATCTCCGCATGCAGCAACAGCAGCAGCAGCAGCAGCAGCAGGAGCACCAGCAGCAGCGGGAGTCCCTGCACAGCTGTTCCCCTCCTGCTGCTGTTGCTGCTGCTGCTGTTGCTGCTGCTGCTGCTGCTGCTGCTGCTGCCCTGTGTATGGAGCTGCAAGCTGCCGCGCAGAGAGCGGTCTAGTATCTGCTGCTGCTGCATCTCTTTGTCTAGAGAAGGATAAAAGAAAAGAAGAGAAGCGGGCCCTCAACGCACCCAGGGGAGAAGCAGCAGCAAGGGGGCCCCCCGGGGCCTCCTGCAGCAGCGGGGGGGGGCCCCCCTCTGCTGCTGGCCGCCAGGCCGCGAGCCGCTGCAGCAGAGAACGTGCTGCTGCTTCTGCTGCAGTGCGCAGCAGCAGCAAGTCTCCTGCTGCACTCCCCTCCGCGCGACACGCTGCTGCTGCTGCTGTTGCTGCTGTTGCTGCTGCTGCTTCTGCTGCTTCAGCTGATGCTGCTGCTGTTGCTGCTGCTGCTGGCCGATGTGTAGCAGCATGAACATCAGGCGATGCTGCTGTATTGGGATCCGCTGCTGCTGCTTCTGCTGCTACTTCTGCTGCTGCTTCTGCTGCTGCTTCTGCTGCTGCTTCTTTTGCTGCTGCTCCTGTTGCTGCTGCTGCTGCTGTTGCTTCTGCTGGTGCGGGGGACTCAGTCTGTTCTGTTTGTTTGTCTGCTGCAGCAGCCTGCTGCTCTGCAGCAGCAGGAGGCATCACCCCCCCTTTCTTTTCTTCGTTATAAGAGCTGAAACCTGCAGCAGCACCAGCAGCAGAAGCAGCAGCAGCAGCAGCAGCAGCAGCAGCAGGGGGCCCTTCCTCTTCCAGGGCACCACCTTCATTGGGGGCCCCCCCACTAGGGGCCCCCCCCGCTTGGGGGCCCTCATCAGCTTTCTTGTTTTCTTTATTTTCTTCTCTTTTCTTTCTCTCCTGGGTGCCTACCTGTGCGGCCCCGTCTGGTTGGGGGGCCCCTGAGGGGGGCCCCCCACCTCCTCTCTGCGCTGCACTTGCTGCTGCTGCTGCTGCTGCTGCTGCTGCTGCGTCTGCTGAGCCTGGGGGCCCCTCCTCCCCCCCAGCGGCGATCCTTTTTAGTGTTAGCATCAGCCCCTGGTGCTGCGCAATTTGCTGCTCTACATGGGGCCCGCATGCAGCCAGCTGCAGCAGCAGCTGCAGCGCGTTCAGCTGCAGCTGCTGCTGCT